TGGAGCATACTCACAGCTTATTCAAGTGCAAGAAGGTGTTAAACATGTTGATAACATTGAAGGGACAGACTTACAGAAAATGGATTCTGCTCTAGAATTAGATGGCAACTTGAGCAAGTCTTTTGACTAGCAGAATTTCCATGAAGAGATTGACAAGCAGCGGATCACTCCCTCCTCCCTTTGGTGCTCCTGATCTTATTGACTATCAAGAAGCTCAAACTGGAGATACCAGAGATGAAAGGGAAGTCAAGGTTTTGAAGGAACATAAGAAAGTTTCTATAGGACACTTTGCATACTTAAAACAAACCCGAGTTGCCATATTTGCTGCTATGACGATTGGCAGCTGGGGCACATGGCGTAGTCTTTCCAATATTTGGACTCTTACTTTCATCAGCTACTAAAATTTTCTTTGAACCTGCAAACAAGCTTAAGAAAGATTCCAGGTTTTGGGGACTCATGTTAGTCGTCCTTGGCCTATGTACCAACCATACCAGTGCAGAATTCCTTTTTTGGAATTGCTGGTGGTAAGTTGATACAAAAAATTCATTCAAGAAGGTAGTGCACCAGGAGATTAGTTGGTTTGATAATCCTCGCAACTCAAGGTTTGTAAATTCTTTTTACTAGTAATCATCGAATTCTTTGATTCTATTCAATTGATACTAAAAGAGAAGCGCTTGTTGGACGCAGTGGTGTTGTTGTCGCAAGGTTATCTACTGATGCCTCGACTGTAAGGAGCCTTGTAGGCGATGCTTTAGCGCTAATTTTCCAGAACATAGCGACGGTGATAGTATGCCTGGTGATAGTCTTCTCGACCAATTGGTTGCTAGCAATCATAATCCTTCTTGTTCTGCCGCTTGTTGGTTTGCGAGGATTCCTCTCAATGAGGTTCTACAAAGGGTTCAGTGTAGATGCCAAGGTATTTTTAGTACCTGAACGTCATGATCATTCAAGTACTACTTATTTGTGTGTGTGTGTATATATACCCACAGACATCTAAGTAAAGATGCAATATATGTAAAGCTGGTGATGTATGAAGAAGCTTGTCAAGTGGCAAATGATGCTGTCAGCAGCATCAGAACTGTTGCGTCATTTAGTGCTGAAGAGAAGATAATGAAAATGTACGAGAAAAAATGCGAGGCTCATGTGAAGCAAGGAGTTCGAGTTGGACTTATTAGGGAGCTGGTTCTTTTGCTTTCTTTTGCACAAATTCCTCCTGTTTCTACATTGGATCTGTTCTGATTCAACATGGGAAAGCATCCTTTGGGGATGTGTCCTAGGTAAATTAAGAATTTCTTGTTCTTATCATTCACTTGCTGAATTCTTCTTCAATTAAACCACAATATTCTGCAGGTTTTCTTTGCCCTAACAATGTCAGCTATTGGAGTTTCTCAAGCTAGTGCAATGGCTCTTGATGTGAACAAAGCTAAGGATTCTGTTGCTTCTATATTTGAGATCCTGGATAGTAAACCCGAGATTGATTCAATTAGTGAAGAAGGCACAACATTGTCTAGTGTTAGAGGTGACATTGAGTTTCAACATGTAAGCTTCAAGTATCCAACACGGCCAGACATCCAAATCTTCAAGGATTTGTGCCTAAGTATGCCTTTTGGGCAGGTATGTTCACTCAGCCAAATAGAGAAATATCTGCTCTCTCCTGTCTTGTTTTAGATTTTGTCATTTTGTCATTTTTTATTTTTGAATTTAGATAATATATGTTTTTGCAGACAATGGCTCTAGTTGGAGAGAGTGGAAGTGGGAAGTCCACAGTTATCAGTTTGATACAAAGATTCTACAATCCCGACCCTGGCCAAATATTCTTGGATGGAGTGGAAATCAGAAAATTGAAGCTAAGTTGGCTGAGGCAACAAATGGATTATTGAGTCAAGAACCTATACTTCTCAACGAAACAATCTGTGAAAACATTGCACATGGGAAAACAGGGGGATGTAGCTGAAGAGGAGATCATTTCAGCAACAAGAGCTGCTAATGCACACAACTTCATATCAGGATTGCCTTAAGAATACGATACTAACGTTGGAGAGGGAGGAATTCATTTGTCTGGTGGAAAAAGGCAAAGAATTTCTATAGCAAGAGCAATTTTGAAAGATCCAAAGATACTTTTGCTCGATGAAGCAACAAGGCCACTGGATGCTTAGTCAGAGCGTATAGTCCAGGAAGCCTTAGATAGAGTTATGGTTCTCGTCGCCTGACTACGATAATGGGGACAGACACCATTGCTGTTGTGAAGAATGGAGTCATTGTTGAAAAGGGAAGTCACGAGGTGCTTGTGAAAATGAAAGATGGGGTCTATGCATCATTGGTTGCTCCACATTCTTGTTCAGAATAAAGCGAACCATCACTCTGTTTGACTGTGTCTCAAGGAACTGAAATTTTTGAATTTTGATTTAGTTATCAACATAGCTTTTACAGCATGCATTATTATCATCTGCATTCTGCACAACTTTGATAATATCAATGGAGATTTTATTTATAGATTGAAAAAAAAATACTAAATTGCAAACAAACCATTGATTAATTACTGCTAGTTATACAAGTCACGTAATCCTGTATCATCTTGACAAGAAATTGTTGCTAGACATACTTCCAATTCGTATCTTGGACTTAACAAGATTAACCATAATTAAGAAAAATAAATAAAATTAGGCGACGAAATAATTAAATATTTCAAGTGTGTTTTTCAATACAAAGTAACATTGCAACTTCTGACATACAATTTCCTTCATTAATTACTATGTTAAATTGGCTAATCAATAAAAGGGCCTTATTTGAGTAACAAGACTTAAATCATTCTTCTACTAGTTGACACATTTATTCAATCAAAGCAACTTGATTCTGGGTGCAGATAGCAGCTACCATACCTGCATACAAAAATGTTAGCAGATAATATTTCTCATTTAAAGAACTCAGCATACTCTAAATTCTCATGGCGTCAAGGTATGATTTCCCATCAAGTTCCC